TGTGTGTGTGTGCCTGTGTGTGTGTGAGTGTCTCTGTGTGTGTGTGTGTGTGAGTGTCTCTGTGTGTGTCTGTTGTGTGTGTAATCTGGTTGAGTTCCAGCACTTCTGTGTTACAATCTGCATATTCCAGAACTCCAAAATCCTTCCATACCTGTGTGTTTACACAGGTGGGCTTCAGGATTTGTACAGCTAATGTGCTTCTGCGTGGGTGTGTGCTTTTATTGTGTGAATACTACAGTGTGTGTGTGTGTGTGTGTGTGTGTGTGTGTGTGTGTGTGTTAGCACTAACGGTGAGGCAGACGGTTCTGAGGTGGTGCAGGCGGTCCAGGGCCTCCTGGGGCTTAGCCAGGTACTGTGGGAGCTCGGCGTGCAGCAGCCGCATGGAGAACGGCACCATGGAGCCTGGACAGGATGGAGGGAGGGAATAAGAAAGGAGGTGGGATGAGGACGGAGCAGGAAGGAGAGCGGGAGAAGGATGAGAATATAAAGCCATCCACCCACACACAGACTGCACAGCCCTGGAGGCAGGAACCTACAGATGGCACCGAGCTACGTATGGCTGCTTATTAAACCCTCTCATCTCGCTCTCTCTGTGCGCTGCTCAGCTCCATCACTCATCTCTCTGCCTCGACATCACACAGACACACACACACACACACACACACACACACGCGCCCCTGAGGAAGAGCCTATATTCAGGTGAGTCCCCGGGCTTTGATCAGCGCCTCTTTGATATCGCCATCAGATGTGAAAGTCTGGTCCATCGCTGCCCGTCTCGATCTCACCTTCCATCTCTCCTCGTCTATCTGTTCCAACTCGACACTCTCCCTGCTCTGCCCCCGCCCTGCGTTACAGGGTTTTATCGTCACGGTGACGGGACCTCGCCGACTCTCTGCGATTCATTATTCTTCGTCTCCCGGGGTGTCAGTCATTTTCAGCAGATTTAATTTATGGCTTTTACTTTCATTAGTAAAAGCAGCATCCTTCATAATGAAGGAAATATGAGCCAGAGCCTGCAGTTCCTCTAACATCCAGCAGAGGCAGCAGTGAGTCAGTCGCCAGAGATGCCCATGTTAAAATAAACAGCCTGATTGGTCAGGATAGTAGGCATCATTAGGGGGCGTGGCCTCTTTGACTTATAGGTGAATGGCAACAAAGGTGTCTGTAGCTGCTTGCTGAACCTCTGGGCTGTGTTTGTGCTGTCAGAGCCTTTTTAATCTGACCAATAATACGGCCTCTTTCCAAATATGGTCACTTCTGGAAACAAAAACACAACATGGCAGCAGCCAAGGTGCCAACACTGTGGAGTTGACATGTACTGGTGAGCAGAACTAACATCGAGGCAAGACAGCTGAAGGTGCTGAGGACAACGACCCGAGAACTGAAGACAAACAGGATAGAAACATCCTATCACAATAAAAGCCTTCAGAAGAAACAATGTCTCTGGAATCCTAAGGCTTTTATTTTGAAAAGCACAATACTGCTACATGTTCTGGGCATTCACCCGTCCCGCACGGCGATACGAGCCATGAAAATTTAAGCCAGAAGGCAGTTTGATGTTTTTCTTCAGTGAATTATCAGAAAACAGAGTTAGCCTTTAGACTGACTCACTGTGTTTCTCAAAGCTCCAACGCTGGGAGGGGAAAAATAACACAATTGAAAAAGCACCAGATTTGAACCGGGCCCTGCACACTTGGAGGTCTGCTAGTCTGAAAATATTCATAGTATGAATATAAGAAAAAGCACAAACAGCTGCCTGTAAGCGGGTCAGGTGGGACGTCTCCTTCTGAACCAGCTGCAGTAACTGTGTGCAGGTTCGGATGTCTCTCAGCCCAAACTGGACTCAGCTTTGCACGCCCAACGGAGGACCTCTGCTCCTTCCCCGAGCGCTCGCTCGCTGCTGCGCAGACCGGGCGTCTCTGAAGGCCTTCAAAGAGCGCGATCACGGGTAATAGATAGTCGATGCAAGCGGAGAATTGTTCGACTTGTGGTGCCAGGCTACACAACTCATGCCAGTTTGTCTGAGAGCACCTTAGCAGGGCACAAAGCGTTTAATATTGAGCAATGGAAAGTCAATCGGTGCTCTTCAGAGAGCTGTGCAGTGTAGCTTCAAGTGTTTTTTTATGTAAGGGTGTGTGTGTGTGTGTGTGTGCTGCCTGCACACTGCGGTAGCCCGAGGGGCGAAGCAGATCCAAAGTAATGGGAATACATTAGAGAGCAATTCATGCAGTGTAAAAAGAGGAAAAACAAAACCAAAGAGCTGCTGGAGACAAGTGGAGTTGTTGGAGCTTCTCGATGATACAGGCTGATATCAAGCTCCTGGCACCAACTTTCCTCTGAATATTTAACAGGACAGTGGTGGATACGCTGGTGCATTCTTACTAAAATAAAAAAACGTGGGTAAAATGCTAAATCCTGTCGTACAGCAGCCAGCAGCCTAATAACGCATTCAACGCTCGCAGAGCATCCTCTCAGCGCCGTCATGAGCACGCCACTCAGCCTTCAGAGGCCTCAGCGAGCAGCTCACGGACAGAACACGCAACACGCAGCGGGCTCAGCTCGAGCCTCTGATCTATGATCAATAGCGGAAATAACGCGAGCGTCACTGCAGACTCACCTGGTTGGCTGCTGTCACGTAAAGGCGGTAACGACGTCTGTGCGATGGGCCGCGGACGCCATTTCTCGACCCAGTTTCATACGTGTGAAAGTTGGAGTTGTGTTTACTCCACGACGGTGTGATTACAGACTTTGTATGACCCAGAAACACCACGAGGAACATCGTGATACAACACTGAGGCTGTGTGTGTGTGTGTGTGTGTGTGTGTCCATACCTTTCCTGCCTGGGTACACAGTGGGGTAGTACTCGTAGTAGAGGTCCGGCTGATCCAGGTTGCCGAAGGGTTCAAACTCCAGCTCGGCATTTTGGAAAAGGCCCAGCTTGGTGAGCAGAGCAAGTCGCACAAACCAGAGCTGCAACACACACACACACACACACACACACACACACACACAGTGTGTGAGTTGGTAAACCCACACTCTGGAGTTAAACTACAGGCACGACTGAGACATGATGTCCTCGATGATTATCCACAGTTTCCTCTGCAGGGCTTTTATTGTGAAAGGCTCACCAAGAACCTTTTGAATGTATGAATTCATGCAGCCTTTTACTTCATCAACACATCTTCCACCTCAGGCTGCAGTCTGAGTGGAGGCTGCTGTTCCACATCTGGAGGGAGCTGGATTCTCTCAGCTGCTGGACAGAAGCCAGGGCTCACGCTGCACGCTGAGCCGCTCGAGCTGGAAGATGAACCGCCTCGCCACGGAAAGATCCAGAAGGTCGCGAGCGGCATGTGTAACCCCTGCAGACACGCTGCTCCCTCTCGACCCGGCTGAGGCGGCGTGCTGGAGTTAGGACGGTGGCACGAGGTCAACTGTTCAGAACTTCAAGAAGACTTCGGGGAGGACCGGCGGCCTCGGGAGGAAGCCAGTGACCTCTGTGGCCATTTTTATTCAGGGAGTGTTAAAAACGTTGTTTTAAAAAGACCTCCCACCGTGTGCTCTCTCCCTGTGGCTCTAATCCTGTGTCAGACCATTTCAGCGTGAACTGAATTACATATTTTGGAAATTCAAACACGTGAAAAGCGTCTGAACCTTCTCTCAGCGTTGATGGTCACGTGTGTTTTATTAGAACCTGCAGCACATTTAAACAGGACTGCTGTCCACTCAACTTGAGGAGCTTTGCATGATTCACAGTTCAAAATAAGCCTTAGCGCAGGCCAACAGGTCAAAGGAGTCATTGTAGCCCCGCCCCTTTGAAGACGACTGGCTATAGGAGGTTTAAACATAAGGGTGGGCGGGACTATTCCCTCTTTGCGACATCACACAGATCTATGAACAGAAAAATCTAACATGTGCACATCCATGCAACACAACGTGAGAAACCCCTGGAACACGAGGACTCCTGCACTAAAGTGAGGATGTTTAAGAACATAAAACTAACTGTGATATGTGGCATGAGGCAGCGACACGGCTAATTAATTCACAGAGCCGAACACGAGGGTGGCCTCTTAATGAGCTCGCGCAGCCATCCATCTTCTGGATGGAGCTCCACAAACACACGGGGAGAATATGGCAGTAAAACGTACGAGATGAGGGCAAAGCAAACAACAAGAGTATCTCAGACTCTGCCTGACGCAGACTCGACTGAGCGAACGCGGGATTCATGCCATCGGGAACCAGTGAGGCGTCTTACCTGCAGCGAGTCGGTGGCGTGGGAGGTCGGCTGGCCGGCCTTGCCGTATCCCTGACCGTGAGCCGTCAGCATGCGGGCCGTCAGATCCACCGCGGCGCGCCAGTTCTTACTGCTCTGCAGGGGTGACGAGACACGAGGCGTCAGAAACAAGTCAGAATAACTGCTGCACAAAAAAACAGAGAGAGGAAGCTGAGGGAGGAGAACCGACAGACAGAATATAACGCAGCTCAGAACAAAGAACTCCAAGAAGGTTCTGGAAGGACCAGGCGGCTCGAGAGGATTCGATGACCTTTTGTGCTCAGAGACTGTTGGAGACTTTGTTTTAAAGGCACAGTTCACCAAACGCGCTCGTTCCTCTGAAAGTGCCGTTTAGGTTGTTTCAGTGTCAGCCTGGTGACAGGAAGTCAAATACCTAAACATGACCTGCGTTACTGAGCAGCAGGACGACTCATGACTGCACCTCTGAATTCATGTGACATGACAAAGACCTTAAAGGTCAAAGGTTAAATCAGCTCATCTCCAGAAGACGCTCGTGGATGTTTTGCATCCTGCAGCAGAGACACTGAAACACTGCACGAGTCACCCTGAGCTGATCCTGCTGCAGAGTGGAAGTGACCACACGAGCTCAGGTGTGTGTGTGTGTGTGTGTCTGTGTGAGAGTGTGTGTGCGTGTGTGTGTGTGTGTGTCTGTGTGAGAGTGCGTGTGCGTGCGTGTGTGTGTGTGCGGGGTCATTAAGGCCGAGAACACGAGTGCACACATGCCCAGATATCAGCATCTGCTTCCACAGGAGGAGGTACAATAGGTAAGAGGGTGTGCTGGGAGGGGGGGGTAGAGTCACCCCACCCCATCAACACGCATGACAAGGTCGGCTCGCCGATTGGATCCTAAGTGCTGCGCCATTCATCACAGCCGGCGAGCTAATTAGGAGAGAGAGGCAGAGAGAGGGCTGCTCTCTTTATCACAGCCTTCATCACCACTTCCCTTCTCCTCCTCGCCTCCTTCCCCTTCATCTGACTCTCACTCCTGCCTGCCCTCCTCCTCCTCCCGTCACCGCTTCCTCCTCTCCTTCCTGTGCCAGTCGCTGCGCTGCCTCTGAATCTTCATTAGGGCGGGAAATGAAGCTGAAAACGAGGAGGCAGCCTGGATGGCCAAAAGCAGCTGCAGTCAGTCACACACACGCACACACACACTTCCTGCAGCACGCTACAGCACGCCGCTCACCGCCACGGGGTGCGAGAGGAAGACAGGTGTCTGCGTGAGGAGGGGAAGAGACCGCATGAAGTAAATGACCTTTAGTGTGGCCCCACATATTGGAGGGTTTGTTTTTTTAACGTTTTCTTCACTTTATGGCGCGTGAAAAACCTGCAGTTCCTCTATCGTCCAGCTGGGGCGCCAGCGGTGAGTCAGCCCCGTAGACTCATGTTAGATCTTTACAGCCTGACACACAAACTGGTTGGTTTCTATAGAGAATTCACTCCTGTGTAACAGCTGTTTACATCGTATTAAGGCTTAAAGTTAAAGTTTGGATTTTTAGGGGCGTGGTCTTACTTATCTGACCAATAGCATGGCTGGTTCATCGTGCTAACAGAGGTGTGAGCTCCTGTTTGTGTTGAATCCCGGCTGACAGGCTGTTTTGGATGTTTGGTTTAACAGATAAATAAATGTTTTAAACTAAACTCTGGTGATATTCGTCTTTCTGGGCCAGAAGGAGAGGGAGGAGCAAAAATGCAGAAACATGCATTACAAGGAGCCAAAACTCAGGATTTACATAACAATAACTTCATGCTCAGACTGTCACCGGCCCAAACGCCAGAGAGCGAGCAGGTCGCGGAGCGGAGTCACGGCAAACGTCGGTCTGACCCCGCCGATGGAGGAAAGACGAGTCACACACTGGACGGTGGTCCAGCTTCTTTGACCTGAGTGACATGTGACGTCCCGCCTGCACGGTGGGTTTGACACGAGCGTCTGCGGGGACCGCCTCACCTCTGGAGCCTCGAGTGGAGGTCAGAGGAACTGCAGCTTGGCACGTTTAAATGTCCTTACAGCAGAAATCAAACAAAGAAAGAGGATGAAGGAGAGAACGTTTACGAGGCTGAGCTCTGGTGTCAGTTTGCATCAGCGCTGATGATCTCTGCACATCGAGGCTCCGAATATAACATAAAAACACTTTTATTAACTCTAATTATGAATGATTCTGACTTCAGCAGCATTACAACGCCTCACCCAAACTCCCACTTACTCACACCCCCCTCACACACACTCATAATTAGTCTCGTCGCGAGTTTAAAAGGGGTGAGGCTCCTTAATTGCGTTGAAGATCGGAAGTTCACTGCGCCCATCCTTTAGTGAGTTTAAAAAAATCCGGCATAACAAAGCCTGATGAACAAACGAACGCCCACTCGTTCTCTCGCAAGACCCAGAAGCCTCCAGGCGAGGCAGACATAAAAAGGCTTCCTCGCACCGGCTTTGCTTAACGCAGCTGCAGCGCTGCTTCAATTAAACCCTGCATGTCGGATTACACAGAGGGGGCGGGAAGTAAAAACATTCGTGATATGCTAAAAGAGAAAAAGGTGCTTTGATGCCTGACTGCAGACACTCGAACCAGGGGACGCTTTCCGCCCTCGAGCTGAAAGACGTCGAGTTTGGTTACTCAACTTCACGCAGCAGCCATTTTGTCTCTTCACAGAGACGCGGCGGGATGCAGCAATCTCCGCCCGACGCTCCCCGAGACGCTCCTGTGGGTCAAATCAGCCGCTGATGGACAAACGTGCTGCCGGACGGCGTTTGAAGGTTTAGTTGTTACCCCGGCGATGCTGCAGGAGCAACAGAGAGCTCTGCATCAGGTCTGAGGCACAAGCAGCGACGGACAGCACACGGCCACCCCAGAGCGCCGCTGACCACCTGACAGGCCTCACGGCTGGCAAAGTGTCAAGCTGCAGTGTCATTAATCTTCCACACACAGTCTTCATACATGATTATCGACCTGAATGATGGAAACACTGATGTCTGTAGCTCGCAGCGACGTGCAGGCGAGCAGTGCAGGTATAAGCTGTGAGCACGTCACAGTAAAGCTGCTCATGGACTCACAGCCGGCACAGACTTTAAACGTAAGGTTACATTACTACAGAAACGCCAACAATCAAACAAGCCCCTCTGAACAAGCACTTTGGGGACAGTGGGAAGGAAAAACTCCCTTTTAACAGGAAGAAACCTCCAGCTTCTCTTTACTGACTGCACAGCGCCATCACAGTCCTCTCTACGGTGGCCCTGTAGTGCCAATCCCAAATCACTGATGGAGGTGGCAGAGGAAGTCAGAGCAAAGCTTTAAACACAGCGAGCTGCAGATATTGAACCTCTCAGACGTGCGATGTAAC